GCTTTAATCCTATGTGAAAATATATATTCTGCAACTATTGAATCCTATGGGAAAATATAAAATCACTATTGCATCCTATGGGTAAAATATATTGGATCACTATTGAGTTGCAAATAATATTAACATTGTCCTCTATGAAATATATTCTACAAATAGCATTTTTTTAAATCAATATGCATCTTATTTTCTTTATGAGTAGGCTTCTATACCTTTGGCTACAGTATCCAATATGTGACCAGCTTCTCTTTTATTTCTATTATTTTTTTATTGTTCAGATAGTACAGATTACCAGCTAGTGACTTGGTCCAGGGATCACACTCTTCGCTTGTGGAAAATAGATCCTCATTTACAAAAGGTATTTATAGTAGTAAAAAAGACAAGCTGAAAATATCATCTATACATTCATCTTAAAAACAAAAGATTGTTTGCATTTTCTGTGTGATGGCGCTGTATACAAGGTTCTAGTATATTTTATTTGGCCTACCACATTGCCCCTTGCTTCCCTTTCTGAATAAATTCAGTGTTCTACAAGAGAACTGGTGATGGTTGTAGAACCATAACTGCCTCAGCTCAAAAATTGTTATGTAATACAGGGGAATGTGAAGGGAAATGTATTGTAATGTTACCTCTGTGTAATTTACAATATATCTGCATTAACCTTCACTGTGAAGGAAAATATGGGAGTTGACTTAAATGACTGGTAAAAGCAAGGCTGGTCAAATTCTGCGAAATAGTAGTTAGAATTTCCAGATACGCAATCGACACATTGTGAGATATCAAATATGGATGATAAACAGCAAGTGATATTTTCAGAGATGTAGTTGGAATTGAAGCAAAGGAGTGACCTGTTAATCCATGAAACATACTCACACATATTCGTACATATCATCCTGTCTTATTGTGTGTGGGCAAAGCTGTCATGCACACAATCGGAAAAATATGTTATTACTGTAAATAATAAAACTGAAAATAAAAACTATGAACAATTAATAAAGAAAATATGTGATTTGCTATGCAGTTTCCAGAAAATTATTACAAGTCCCAGAAGTGCATACGAGTCGTCAAAACGTACAGTTTGGTGACAGAACCCAAATGAAAAGTCTGGAGTCACGGCGAATACTCTCTAGCGAGTCGCCCCTCTAAAAACGTCATTATTGTGCCAATGACATTGAACTTTGCTCTTCCATAAAGCAGCAGTTTCCATCTTCAAATAATCAAAATAAACTTGATACCCTAGCGAAGCATGTCTATTGTTTCACAACGACTGTCCCAGGGGATTTTCGTCTTCCGAATTTCTCAAGATAAACGTCCCAGGGTTGTTTTGTGTACTAGAATTACATGTTTATTGGCAGCATTTCTTGTATTAATTTCCATTGCACAAGAAAAAGAAGAAGCAAATACTGTTACTGAAGCACAGAATTTGCATGAATTTTTCTCCCCGGCCATTCACGCAAACTGCAAACGAAGTCTTTTACCTCATCCATAGTTGTTGACACTTTGCAACTGCCTTGATGGATGTATTGTGACGTATTTTTACCCCGGATTCTGACCTTGCGTTCCGGCTATATGTGCTGCCCTTTCATACCAGTTCATTTTTCTTTCATTATTACATCCAAATGTCATGATGTTTATATTTAAAACCAACCTTTATTTCACAGTCACTTTAGTTTTCACTTTTCCAAAAATAATTTAATGATAAAAAGACTTTTCACTTTGCAATCTCCCAACATATCTACAAATAACCTCGCTTTCAGGAGCTGAGAAATCAGAGTCACGCGCCAAGTAGCGCTTGTTTTTTATTATCGGTTATATGTTCATTTCAGAAATGTACACGCTCTCTTTACACGCTCTCGTCTTATATTACTCATCTGATTACTCAGAACAATAACAAATGACGTAAACAATATAAGACAATTTATGATTGACGCGTATATCAACTAAATATATATATTACCAATTGTAAAATTAAGATACCAAAAAATACCCTCAGAGCAAAGATTTTGCACACTGTGTTCTGATCAGTCTGTTGTGATGAAATGCATGCTCGTTTTGACTGCAAACTGGATGAAATTGTAAAGGCACGTAGCAACTTTTGGAATACTCTATCATTGTACAATGATGATATTTTAAAATTACCAAAAGAAGATATGTTTGAGCATATTATGGGAATAAAAGATTCATTGCCAACAGTCTAGGAAAGTTTATCAACATAATTTTACCTTATAGTTGTTAGTGTTATCTGTTTTTTTTTATTTTTTTATATCTGTATTTCGTGTTATTGTATTTTTTTGTGTATGATTATTGACCATGGTTAATGTATTTTCAAGTCTTTTACCTCATCCATAGTTGTTGACACTTTGCAATCGCCTTGATGGATGGATGGATGTATTGTGACGTATTTTGACCCCGGATTCTGACCTTGCGTTCCGGCTACATGTACTGCTCTTTCATACCAGTTCAATTTCCTTTCATTATTACATCCAAATGTCATGATATTTGATATTTAAAACCCACCTTTATTTCACAGTCACTTTAGTTTTCACTTTTCTAAAATTATTTTACTGATCAAAAGACTTTCAACTCCCATCATATAATCCCCCATAGTACTTTCGGAAACACAAAGGCGATCGCCAGCATATCTACAAATAACCTCGCTCTCGGGGAATGAAGAGCTCCACGTTGTCGACTTTGTTGACAGTGGAGCTCATAAAATGACTGAGTGCTTGACCATTAAAAACTCTGGAGGGTAGACTTGTGCAAATTATTTTATCCTGCACCTAGTTATGGGCTACATTATATATATTTTTTTTACTTTGACATTTTCAAGTATGTTTCAAGGGATATGTTTTTATTAATATATTTTTTCCTTAAATTCTTCTTTAGATTTGTTTTACAAAGTTGTGTTTATATATATGCTATTCAATTTCCACCTTTCTTTCTTTTGATTGTCAACCTTTAATTGTATGGTGTCAATCTGAGCGTGACCTAATTCATGGTTATGGGGCACTTTACAATGATGTCTGCATTGTGGGATATGTATATATGAGTAACGACGGGCGTTGGAATACAGTGTATGTAAACCTGTTGTAGGCAATAAGTCCATATCAGCACCGCATAAAGTATTTGAAGTCTGCGTAACTGGTAAATGTCGTCGTCGATGGCGATCTCAGACATGGTGTGTGTCTAAGTACGAAACCCGAAACCCGAACCAGACACTTTGCAACCGCCTTGATGAATGTATTGTGACGTATTTTGACCCCGGATTCTGACCTTGCATTCTGGCTACATTTACTGCCCTTTCATACCACTTCAGTTGCCTTTCATTATTTCATCAAGATTCCATGATATTTAATATTTAAAACCAACCTTCATTTCACTTACTCACCAGTCACTTTACTTTTCTAAAATTATTTTACGATCAAAAGACTTTCCACTCCCATCATGCAATCCCCCATAGTACTTCCGGAAACACAGAGGCGATCGCCAGCATATCTACAAATAACCTCGCTCTCAGGAGCTGAGGAATAAAAATATGTAGCGCTGTTGATAGCGACTCAATTTCTCTCAGTCATATACATTTGTACAGTGAAATCTATCTGTCTAAATTGTACCCAGGGTAAACTGGAAATTTGTCAAAATTGAATATCTTGTAATAGTCAATTGTTTCTCAGAGACTTAAATTTAAAAATAAAATAAAATTTGTGGTGTTCAGTTTATACAGGTTTCACTGTATCTCAGTTTGTGGTGTTCAGTTTATACAGGTTTCACAGTATCTCAGTTTGTGGTGTTCAGTTTATACAGGTTTCACAGTATCTCAGTTTGTGGTGTTCAGTTTATACAGGTTTCACTGTATCTCAGTTTGTGGTGTTCAGTTTATACAGGTTTCACTGTATCTCAGTTTGTGGTGTTCAGTTTATACAGGTTTCACTGTATCTCAGTTTGTGGTGTTCAGTTTATACAGGTTTCACTGTATCTCAGTTTGTGGTGTTCAGTTTATACAGGTTTCACTGTATCTCAGTTTGTGGTGTTCAGTTTATACAGGTTTCACTGTATCTCAGTTTGTGGTGTTCAGTTTATACAGGTTTCACTGTATCTCAGTTTGTGGTGTTCAGTTTATACAGGTTTCACTGTATCTCAGTTTGTGGTGTTCAGTTTATACAGGTTTCACTGTATCTCAATTTTGTGGTGT